CAGATAGCCCATTGTGTAGCTTTGTGCTTAACTTCAAACAAACAAAATAGTTTATCATTTGAGTATCATCGCTATTCACGATCGAATGTAGGATTGTAGATTATGTTAACAAATGTCATCCATGAGGAAAAATAACATATTTCCTTAATGTATGATGTGTTTATTATTATTATTATTATTTGATGAATCAGAAATTTGACTTATAACATCCTTGTTGATAGAGATTATAACCCATCAGTGACTTAAAATTTAGAATTAACTTCTACACTTTTTGCTATAAATCATATCATGTTCGAGTTTACTATGTGTGAAACTATAGATTTTTGAATGGGAAACCACTCATCTTAAATTACGATGTTATCATAAGTAATAGAAACGAATTGAGAATGAAGTATTGTAAATAATCGAGACGAGCTGACGTTGTAAAAGATTTAATAGAACTATAGCTGCGATTTACTAAGGTGACATATACTGTTGATCATAAAGACATTATCCAAACTGAACATTTTGGAATAACACTGCTGAAAATTTCATTTGCAACACGACTTGTTACTTACTTTGTATGTGTTAACATTGGGTAAAAGTGTGAACATCAGCTTCATGACTTGTTACTTACTTTGTATGTGTTAATAGTGGGTAAAAGTGTGAACATCAGCTTGTCGAAATCCAAGTTTTTGTTTTAGTGTTTAATATTTTGCCTTTTATATCCTAGATGATATACATAATAGTGATAATATAATTTTTGTACCCACTCTTTAGTCAACCATTACTTACAGTTAATATATCTCCTGTAACATGGTTTAAATTAAAAGTTACTTTCTGAAGTACATGGTATGTACCTACCCGGCTGTTGAAACTCTGGGGCGAACTGTTTTGCTACTATACGGGCAAAGTCGGAATCTTCCTTTGCGTGTATCGCAAAAACGTTAGCTTGTTCTGCTTTTCCTCGAGCCGTCGCTGTTCTGAAAAAAAAAAAAGAATAAAATCGGCGCTTTTAATTCTGTGCGAGAAATATAAGAAATAAGTATGAAAGAAAGCCAGCTTTTTATTTATTATATTATATCTATGTTTTCTGAAGGAAAAAATACAGATCTAACTGATAGCAGTTACATTCATGATAACAATTACAAAAGGCAAATTTCCAGCTACACAAAGAGAGACAATAAATTATTTATATATTTCTGACTTATATAGTAGATACAACAACTATATGTAGAACTGCTCTGCTGCATGGAACATTGGTTTTGAAAAAACAAGTCGTGTATTTCTACGAAACCATGTTCTTAATTATTTTTAATATTTTAAGTTTATCATCAAACTACTGTTCATGCTGAGTCCAAACCTTATCATGCACATATTACTAGGATTTAATGCCATATTATTATTATTACAAAACTAAATTACAATCTTCCCATAATGTCATCAATCCTTAATAAACTGGCTATTGTTGGAACGTGCTATTTGTTCTAGTATGTGACAGTGTTTTTAACTCATTTTTTTACATTAAAAATAATAGTAATTCAGACCAAAACTCAGCATATAACTAATTCAGTAAAGTAGAAATGGGGTGACTTGGGTTACCGCAATAATGATTACATATTCATAACATTTAGTTAAATGTATATAGATTTAACGAATGCCAAATTTTTGGGAGTTCATCAAGTGTACCTAGGGCACGATCTTTCTTCGTTTGTGTTCTCCATATGGGCTCTAATAATAGCCTTAAAAACATGCTTTTGTTTTCACAGATGGGCACATCCAAAAACAGATCAAGAAAATATTCTATTTCACAACTACGAAAAAAGTAAGATCTACTTTTAGGTATATTTCTGTAATAAGAACCTAACACCTAATACTGGATACCAATATATCTGTGTTGTTTATTTTAAAACAAATATACATATAGCTATCTTATCGTCAACATAGGTAACGAGGAGAGGAGCAACGCGGCCTTAGGTTTATTGATCATTGTGACATGCGTAATAAAGTTTATAATATCGTTTCAGATAGTGTAAAACAATTATAATTATACCTGGATGTTTAACATTATTATGTTTAGTATATTTCCGTGGTTACAGTTTCTAAAGAGGTTATTAAACTGTTATAAACTAAAATTTCAATCCAACCCACTCTGGTTAAAAGTTTTGTTGTTGTTGTTGGTAATATTGCCAATAAACACGCAGTTTGTGGAAATTTCCTATACATTCGAAAGTTAATTAAATCAAAAGTTAATTAATCTACCAGAAATATTGACATTTGGTATTATCATGTTAGTTAGCGCTCATCGGTCGTTGAACAAAATTCTAATATCTCTACTTTAAAGCCAATGCAAGAGTAGAAATGATTGATAGTTCTAACGCTTTACACTATGCATATAATATTTGGCTTGTACCCAAACCCATGTAAATTATTTATAGCATTGAATCTGATGAAGCATGGATCTATAGGATAACAAGTAATATAACAACGTCACCATAAAACAGCAAGTACTTTCAACCCATCCAGTTTTGTATTTCTGTGTCTTTTTAACAATAAAATATACTTATCTAATTAAAAGTGAAGAGTTAAATATTTGCAGATTTCGTGTGATTTTGACCACACTTGTTATCTTACACAATATACTTTGCTAAAGTTTAGTTTGGGTGTAAAGTACTATGTGTGTAAAGTACTATGTGTGCTTATATATAAACATGCATATACGCCAACATCATCTGATCACGCATTCACAAATATAGGTTTATGTGAGAAAAAAAAAGAAACCGTTATGGAGTATCATTGCTCCACCCCCTCGTTGACTAGCGAGGCGTGTTTTCGATTAATAATTATGTCACTATTGCGCACATCTTTATTTAATTTTGAACTTACTAAATATTTTTACTGATCTTTCAACTAACGAAAAAAAAATCTGGTTTAGTCACGAGTTCGCTTAAATAGAAAATTTTGTTTTATAAAGAACTGTCGAGTGAAAACTACAGGTTAAAAATATCACTTTAAAAACAACCTTTGTTGGAATACGTGATATTTTTCGAGATCTTGAAAAAAAGAACATGAAAAGATGTCCTAATAATGTGCACGTATTTTAGAATAAATGAATATTTAATGAATTATATTGATTATAATCACGCTTCGCCAGCAGAGGTTGATATAAATATGCATTCCTTTATCACCATGTGCAAATTATTAAAGCACAAGCTGAATGTCCGTCATATGACGGGAAATAATGATCAATTTTTTTCCTCAAAATTATATCTAAATAAATGTTTTATGAACATGTTTCCTGAAAATGAATTATTATCTAGGAAAAATATATGTATATAGATTGACTATTCTATTTCTAGTATTTCACGAAAATAACATTTTTTATGTATATTTAGTCATCTCCTTTAAGTATTGCTTGATTAACATTTTGACTATGTACATTTTTAAGTTATATCTAAATGTCCTTCTTGATAAATCCTTATAGACTGAAACATGCGAAAAAACAACTAATTCTCAAAGATATATTCCTACTTGATCAATTGTATAACCGTGCTTGTGTTTATTTGTTTGGAGTCAAGCACAAACCTACACAATGGGCTATCTGTGCTCTGCCCATCATGGGTATCGAAACCCGATTTCTAGCGTAGTAAGTCCGCAGATATGCCGCTGTGCCACTTGGGGGCCATATTCATACTTGGTCAACTGTATGACTCTGCAAATTATTAATTGTGATGATAAGGGTAGTAAATTCTTTTACGAATTTGGGGTAAACTCTTTGGACTGTCTTCCTGGTTTTGGCTTTGTTAGCCCGCTGAGCTGAAGAAGCACGCTTTAATTTGAGCATTTTGAAGACTGAAATGTGCTGCGGGTAAAACATGTCGGTTATTATTGAGTTGTAGCTGAGGGTTCCGATTGGACAAAATTTGGTGATTTTGCGTCGAAATGTTTCCTTGACAACCAAGCAAACGTAATGGTGAATTTCAGCCAATTATTATGATTTTTGTGCGCTAGCAATACCAACCGTGGGGCGCGCGTATACCTGATTCGATTTTATTACACATCGCGATCTCTACCACCCTACCCTCAAATCTACTTATATTCCCAAAGTAGCGTATCGTTCATTTTAGATATTAATATATATGGCTGGGAAAATAAAAAAAAAGACAAACTTGCTTGTCTGGTCAGAAATCGCCGTCGTTTCGTACAAGTTGCGCATCGATTGGTACCGCAACGGCCGAGATATCGGCGTGACAGACGGATGGCTTTTCGTCTTTATATAGTAGATACCGTGTTTTCAGTGTAATGATCAACACTGAGAAGAAAGGGCATATTAGTCTCCTTATTTTCTGTTACTCCTATCGATAAGATAATAATGAGAGTAGTGCCTTTAGTTCTTCTATGTTAGTGGACACAGAAACGGTGCTCAGTTTTAGTACTAATTGAATCAAAAACGCAGGTATTAAGTAATTGTATAAATTCGATTTCGATGTTTATCTTAATAATCGAAACTTTTTTTACGTAATCATCAAGATCTATTAGTGCAAATATTTTATCAGATGAAATGGTGCATTTATACAAGTATTCTAAAACTTATCGAAAAAAACATTTTCTAGATCCGATGTTTGATTTGCTTTCTATTGACATCCATAGATTCGGCGTTGATATCTCTATATTTTAAGAATTTTTGACATAAACAAAGAAATAATAAAATAAATTATTGTTTCTCACTTACCAATATTGTATTGATAATGAAGATGCTATTAAGAAAATAGATTCATTAATTGGACGCTTTTAGTAATGTTAGGCAATACTATTTTTTTTTTCAAATAAGCCAAAATTTACAAACGTAATACTTCATGAAATACTTGTTGGGTTAGAACAAAACCGACTAGTCACTGATTTTGAAACAAAAAACATTCAAATTACTTAAACCAAAAACTATTTTGAAAAGCGTGTCAGTTATTCCATTGCAAACATGTCAATTTATAAACTTTGTTGAGTAATCGAATACACAGTTTAGTTTTCACTTTTATTTACTATACGATGTTAGTCTAAGTTTACTCTGTTAAGGACATTTTAATGGTTTTAATTAGCTAAAATTTAAAATTGTATTATACAGATTGTTCATGGAAAAATAAAACACTCCGTGTTATCAAAAAAGATATATTATTTATTATCTGTTATTGTTGTTTATTATTAAGCACAAAGCTACACAAAGGGCTATCTGTGCTCTGCCCACCACGGGTATCGAAACCCGGTTTATAGCGGTATAAGTCTTCAACCGGTTTTGCGACTTCAACTAAACATAAATAAACTACGTATTCTATAATTATAAGATATAATTATAATTAGATTTTAATTTATAAAGGAAGGTATATTGGATAAAGGTTGACTAATTTTTATTTATTTTTGAGCATTTATAATATACGTAATTTATACATGGAGTGTATCATGTTATTAATATGGTGGATAAAATGAACTCTATTTTCAAAGCAAGGAATTAAGTGATGACTTTGCTTTAGTGTAAATAATATTTTACTTGTAACAATAAACGTATATTATTACCATTGGAAATCAGTTTGGCATTACTTTCTTGCATGTTATATATTTTTTTGGTTTTGGTTTTCGATGTAAACAATCCAATTATCTAAAGTTTAGAGTCCTATTTTGTTGTTATTCAAGTTCTGATATTAAATAACTTAACTACTTATAATTATGACCGCTGACGTTGTTAATAACACTATCTGAGTAGGTAGTTGTTTTTAGTGCAAAGCTACACGATTGGCTATCTGCATTCTGTCTTCTGTGGGGAATCGAATCATTTTAAGTCCGTAAACTTACCCACCAGGGGGCATACGAGTGGTAAATTGTTTACTTATTTTAGAATTTTCGCGTAAAGTTACAGAAAAGGGATATCAATGGATGTTTTTCAACTGATAGGCTTAGAGGGAAAACAGGTAGTCAACAGCACCTACAGCCAATTCATGCGCTACTGAACTAACACTGAACACGGTAGCTGTAAAGACCTGGACCGAATGATGAGATATGACTGTCGTTCCTATATCGTTCACCTACAGTCCCAAAAAAGGGGTGGCATTTTTACAGCAATGGGACGAAAATTACGAATCATTTAATTCAAAGTCCGATCATGTTAATCATTGGGCCTCGTCCATACTATAGGAAATAGTACATAATGAGTTTTTCTAATTAACATTTTGTTTGTTAGTTCAATTTTAAGTTGCCAACACTGGATGTTTAAAGGTTTAAATAATGTTAAAGCTGTGTCTATAAAAAAGCGAAAAAATCTTCAACATTTCCTTCAGACTTTTAGTCGGTAAATATTATTACGCGTGAAACACTCAAGAAACTACAAAATGCTAGACGTACAAATTTCAACATATATCGTTGACTCAGATTTTTTTAGACAATTCCACTAGGTAGGTGCAGTGTCTCATCTTCTGTCGAATTAGGACGATTTCCTGTGTGAAAAGTCAATTTTCTCGTAATCTCTCTATAAAACCGTAAGACTCGTATAGGAAATTTTATTTACTTTACTGGTGTACCGGAATTCTTGATCAAGAAGTAAGGCAAAAAACAACAACAACTAAAACTAAACTATATCCAAACTAAACTGTTCATTACGAATGTCCTTAGATTAGTTTACTTGGAAATCTTCGGAATATTTTTTTCTCCAATCAGGTTTAAGTTTTCAAAGCAACAGCTGACAAAAATTATGAAAATATATATGACGTAACAATAGCTTTTCAGTTTTAGATATTCAGAAATGCAAGCATGTTTTAATGTCTTACATGCGTCCACTCTAAAAAAAAGGTATAATTTCATATCCCAAATATAACTGTGGAGTATTTTAGTTGTCATAAAATCATCTAAATGTAAGGGATTTTTGTTACCTATTCTTTTTTTTTTCGTTTTCGCATACAATTTAATAATTTTCCTACTCCTGTTTATGAATTCGTTTCTTTAAGTCGTTTCTTCATATTAAGTCTATACAGCTAGGAATCAGTACCTTTTGGGGGCAAGGACCCCAAATCCCATAGCGATTTATTGAAATCACACTCTAATCGTACCTTTCCGTTATTTTTAAAGGAACAAGTTAAGAAATGTAGGGATTGTATAGTGGTCTCTTTGCAAACATTACTGAAAAAGAAAGACTCTTTCTAGTGTTGGAACAGGTTTGTGTTGTCATAGGTTTAAGTATAAATAAAAGTAGTAACAAAATAAAGATAGAACACACAGTAATTATGAAATTATACAAATATAACTTTAGTGTGGTGAAGAGGATAACTTAAATACTATACACAACTGATCAATTACGTAGACCCGAAAAAATGAGTTATAATTAACACTGGAACGTTACAACCGCATATAGTCAAATTAGTCTATATAAACTAATATAGTCTATATTAATATAACGTGTTTATATTTTAAGTTTGATACTGTTTGTCGTTTTTCGAGCATAAGGCTGATATACAGGTTACCTGCACTGTGTCCACAGCAAGGATCGAACCTTAAATCTTAGCGTCATAAGCCCTCAAGCTTATCGCTGAACCAGCAGAGAGGATGAGGTAGTAACATTGTTTTACAGTTTTGGGGTCGTTCTAGCGTTCAATTTGCAACTTTAAATAATGAGGTTTAATTTGAAATATAGGTGTTCTGATTCTAATTACTCTTTAAGTCTAGTTATTAATGATTTTCTTTATTATTCTGAAAATTAGTTGAAATCTGCCTGGAGATATTTTGATTTTAGAATAGAAAAAGCAATGAAAATGAACGTCATAGTGTTTGAGTTTTACATCTGTTATTAGGGTATAATCTAGCGAAAATATTAAAATATAGAAAAACTCTTTCTTGAGGTAGTTATTATAAGGGTTATCCTGAGGTTGATGTGATAGTGCCCCATAGTTTTAATTAGCTGAAAAACACATTTCATTATTTTGAAAGGCAAAATGTCAGAAATGATTATCCAATCTCACTTGAACTCATTATAACGAGAGACAATGTCGCTTACTGTTTCTCATGCACACATCACTGACGGCTCAGTGATAAGGCTAAAAGATTATGATACTAAATATCGGGTCTCAACACCTGCACAGCATTGATAGCCCATTATATAGCTTTGCGCTTAACAACAAATAAAGTAATGAATTTTATTTAAACTTGTATTTTTTATAAAACAGTTTTCCTTAATCACTTCAATTTGTTCGTTATTTTCTGTTTAAATCTATACGTAGTACTATATGCAAGTACTTATTTCAACCTTTGATCTAGTGATAGGTCTATGTAGCTAGGTATTATGTTTCTTTCCTCCTGATATCACACACACACACAAATGTAGCAATTACTTTGTCAGCTTTGACTGATAGAATATCTTAATAGCCATGTTGTACAAACAATAATAAATGATCATAATACTAGCGTTCGTGTAAGTTAAGTTTTAGAATGATTTTACATAGTAATTTTTAATGTAACATATAATTTACAACTAAAATACCTGGATATAGCAATATCTGCCTTTTGGAGAGCTATTTGAGAAGCACGAGTAGCTGCATTCACAGCGCCATCTATCCTTTCACGGAACTTGGATGATCGAAGCTGAAACAGATGTTTCTTTTTACCACTATTTAATAAGACATTGTTTTTATACTTTCCTTCCTCTTTCGTACCATCCTTAAAAGTAGTGACTCCATAACCATATTTTTTATTGTTATACCACTCCCCCTCGTACTTGAGTCCATCTGATCGTTCAGAGATACCAAACCCACTCCTCTTATCATTCCTGAGCTCCCCCATGTAAGTTTCAACCACATTGGAATCAGTTATATCATCTTGACTGACGAAACTTGCATTGGAGTCGCTGTGTGCCGAAGTCCGGGTAATAGCTGATATAACAGACCCGGAGCTGACTGAATTAGTCGCAGATTTCGTGCTCCGGACAGAACCGGATACTCCCTTTCTGTCGATATCACCAGTGCTACGCTGTTTCTTTAGTTTTAAGCCCTAGAGGAAAAACGATGGGAATCATATCTGGTTAAGTAGTAGCTACAAATTTACCTTTAAAATATTTAAACAGATTAAAAAGTTATGCTGCTAATCAAAAAATCAAAGACAATACATAATCACAAATGTAACGTTCTGAGATTTGAATTAACTTATTAATGACAGCCACAACTCTGACTAAAAGTTAAGCCATAACTCTAACTAAAAGACAAAAGGCTTAGAGATTTTCACATATAGCTATTTTTTTAATTGTATAATCCGCAGTTTCTAACAACCAAAATTAGTATGTTGTTTGATTATTACGTACGTACGTATTTAAAGAAGAGGTACAGAAAATATTATGAGAATGTAAGAATTACGAAGAAATAACGTTCTATGAGTTTCACTGCTCGTTTAATCAGCAGTATTTTCTATTCTTATCAATACCCTGAACTAAACAACTAAAAGTAAACGACACCGATATTTAGATACAAGAGTAAATTAGCTATAAAATTGTTACTGTCGTAGGAAAATTTTTGTTGGAAATGTTTTTATCATTCAAAAATTCTGGGTATTCTAATTTAAAAATTTCGAAAACAAACCGACATACCTATGATGAAGGTTTTGTAAAATTTTGTAAATGAATTTGAAAGAATTATTGATTGTATTATTTAGATATATATATTGAAAACGTCGTTCTAGCGCATAAAAATGAAGACGATTCTATCAAAATAACTCTCTATTCAGCGGATATTAGCTGCTTGTAAGGGAAATTTATTACTAATTTTTGTCTGCAACTAACAGTACAGAAATTTATTATTAATTTTTGTCTGCTACTAATGGTATGGAAATTTATTACTAATTTTTGTCTGCTATTAACGGTATGGAAATTTATTATTAATTTTTGTCTGCTACTAACGGTATGGAAATTTATTACTAATTTTTGTCTGCTATTAACGGTATGGAAATTTATTACTAATTTTTGTCTGCTACTAACGGTATGGAAATTTATTACTAATTTTTGTCTGCTACTAACGGTACGGAAATTTATTATTAATTTTTGTCTGCTACTAACAATACGGACAAGTAACCCATATCCCGTACAAGCTAAGTGTTTGTTGCTAATATCAGTAACAGTTGATACAGTGAGTGAACTCTCGTGATATTTTTTACGCTTTTCTGATGCGAAACCTTTGTTAGATGCTAATACCTTTAACAAACAAACCGCGCGAGCTGACAGGTTGCTGTTGTTACTGCTATCATCAGACTAGCATCACATAATACACATTTATCTTATTTACCTACGGCTTGTTCATTTTAAAAACATTATGATAACGACTCTTTATCCTAAATAAATTTTAAAAATCATTGGTTCTTATTATATACGATGAATAATTTTTTCTATGTAAATTATTTTTTATTGCAATGCACTAATATTAGTCTTTTTCTAAATACCTGTGATAACTACTACATTCGTCTCTTAAAAAACTGGAGTTTGGCATTTGAACAAAAATATTACAATATTCTAAACCTACTGGCTATAACATATATATATCTAAATTGATATTGTAGTTTTTGACGTGGTAACGCATGATAACACTAAATACATGGATATAACATATAAAAATATATACGAAAGAATTAATAGTCCTCTACTATTCCAGAATGTAAAATGTATTTATAGTTCAAAAGCAAGAATTTTACATTAAAGTTAAAGCAGGAGCCTAAACATGATTCATAATTTTGAACATTTTCATTTCCAAATATCATACAATGTTAAAGATGTAATTTTAAACAAAAATATCATTATTCTTTAAATAAAATACAACTTGTTCTCTGAAGTTAAATACAAACCAAAATATTAAATTACATCTCTTTTTTTTCCATAGTGAAATGGAGTTTCCTAAGACGGTGTTTCAATAACTGGAAGTGTAAATCTACCAAATTATGATTGAATATTTATCAGCTCGGTGTACAGAGAAGATGAATTATTTAACTAGACATACGTTTAAACCCCTGACTTGAGAAACAACTTTAGGCACATTTTAACTATAACATGTTCTAATGCTAGAAGTAATATTTTGTTAAATAACGAGCTGCCAACAAAGATTTTGCTAACGACATTTGTATAAAATTGAATAAAAAACAGCTCTGGAAAAAAATCATCCTAACGATCCTGTTGCTGATGGAACAAGGACAACTGTTTTTAATACACGCTCTAGTTTTATAAGCAAGTTACTTGAAAACTATATACATTATCTGTAAAGAGGTAAAAGTAAAAACTTTAAAATGACATGTAAGGTTAGTATTTGCATCTTATGGATCTGATTAATAAATTTTATTCTTGATGTTTTTTAAGATAATCTCTGAGATTACAAGACCCATTTTTCATTAATGATGTACTAAATAATGAACTTTTTATTTTCGTAATATAACAGCTAATATATTGTATTTATTTATATTTTATTTTCTAAAAACAGTTAATCTTCATAGCGAAGAGAAACTACAAATAGAAATAAAACTACAAATGGTTTGAACACTTTTGTCATATTACCCAGAACTAGTTTTCAGGGAAACGAATATGCCAGTAGCATTTCACTTAGACTTTATTTGTTGTAGATTTTTGATGACTTAATTTTATTATCAGATTTCAACAACCAATGTTTATGCTGCATCTAGAATATTCGTGCATAACTACAAAAGGGCTATCTGTGCATAGCCGATCCTAACTCCGAGCTGATAGACAAAAGTGGAGAAGCACACACACAGCCCTCTCTTGGACTTCTCTTATATAACCGAATAGTGGGATTCAAACTTCACTTTAATATCGCACCCACGGTCCTAAATTGCGAAAAGCGTTTATGCAGCATCGAAAAGCGAACCATGAACACTCAGATTCACACCTGAGCACATTACCCATTGAAAAATTTAAGCTTAAAATGTTTATGATTACTAACTTCGACTCTAAATAATTAATAACTTAAAATATACATTTATTTTCTTAATTTTTGACTTATGGAGATACAGTAACATGCTTCTTTATCAGGAAGTGTTAAAAAATATATAAATTTCTTAAATTTCGAGTTCAGGAGATGTAGTAACATGCAGCTTTTCCTGAAAGACCATTTGTTAACACTAGTGAAAGAAGAAAATAGTTCACCTGAAGAATGGACTTTTTTAGACTTGTTGATTTCTCAACAAGAGAACGTCGTCGGGGTGGAGGTTCATCACTTTTTATTTTTAGAACAAAACCACCACGACAGTCATCGATTTTTCGATCTCTTTCGCTGGCCGGATCTACGTGTTCGCTCTGGATTGACGTCATTGACGCTCGAAGGTTCTTTGGACGGAAAAGGGATGCCACCCCAAAAGAGGCGCTTGTGCGAACCCCATACCCATGTCGTAATCCTCTGAGCCATTGACCTTGGTAAATACCTAAATGTGAAAAAGCTGAACTTAGTGGTAAGTACTTTTTAAACATTGTCTTTAATCAATGCGAATATCATTGCTGAATCAATAAAGTTTAGAGAATTCTGCAAAACTTTACTTCAACTAATTTATACACACTTTTTCATACTAAAATCCTCATTTTCATTATCATGTCCATAGATATTTTAAAAGGTGGCATGATGAAATCACTTAATGTTTGATATACTTAAAAAACAAAAACTGTTCCACGCCAATAGGGAAAGCACATGCTTTTAAATATATATTTTAACCATGCCATTACCCATAATACTCACTATTTTAAAACCAAAATAAAACACATATAATTTTAAATTATCAAAAAAAAAATTTTGTTTTTCCTATCTTATTAGATGCCCGTTGAAACAACTAAACGGTAATTTTTCCTAAAATAATGAAGAATAAATATAAAATGTGCAGCGAACTTAATCCCTTGGATCATGGTATCATTCGAGGTGTTATTTCAACAAGGAAAAATTACATTGCGTTTGTTTTTAACCAAAGAAGACTAATTACAATGCACTGTTGGCAAAAACGTTTGAGTTTCAATGCAATGGGTACATCCATCATAATAAGGCGCGGGAATTTTTCCGTTGGATGCCACTGTTCCTTCTCATTTTACTGAGCGCAAGAAAAGACCGCTACCAAAATGAACGCTTTTTGACAGTTATCATTTCTATAAGAAGTTTCAAAGGGGAGATATTCAATTCAATTCAAATCAATTTATTTGACACAGTTCAATATAATCATGCATGTAAATAATACCGACACGAATATATATATATCACTAAGCACAGTAGTGCTTAGTATGTAGGAATGGGCCGAAAACAAAATGGCTACCGCATTCAATCTATTATTCTATGATGCTTACAGGTAACTGCTAAAGTTAAATTATAGCCTTATTTGAGCACCGAATTTCATTATCGAATATTTCACAGCTTGTGAAACTCACAGTATCATCGAAAAGTGTTGCTAAAGTGGAGAACTGGGAACTAGATAAAGAAACAAAGTGTTCATATTTCTTTTTCTTTTCCTACGCTAGCCAAAAAAAATGTATGAAGTTTTTTACAATGGTTTTAGTACGAGAGAAAAGCATTTTAAAAGTACTTGAGAATAAGCTATCAGTTTACAATTCTTTTGTAAACGATGTTATCATTACCCCTTGAAGTTAGCTTTCATACAGAATTTTAGTGAATTTGACTATTATATATATAGATAATGAATAAAAATAAAAAAGAAATAGCACTCGATAGGAGCGTATTTTTGAAAATTAATTGTAAAATGTAACGTTTAAATTCAAAATGAATAACATAAGTAAATATAAATAGTTTTAAATAAGTGCTGAATTAAAAATGTATATAGCGTCAAATATGTTATAAAAATCAAAAATTGTAAAAGTTGCTTTCCTTGTAACTCAAATTAATTATTACATTCTGTACATTTTGAGTTTGCAAAATACGCTAAGTCTAATATTGAATGCTTTTATGTTTGTCTAATTCATAGCTTTGTTTCTAAACTCTAACTCGTCTCTTATAAATTGTGACAAATGAATAAAGCATTTCTAACAAACTAAGCAGATTATTTACAACGCCATCACTAATTTTTAACGTATGTGATTCAAAATAAATTTCTTAAAATAGTATTATAAATATCGTTATAAATTGCAGAGTAAACATGCAAGAAAGGTCATACGTGTTACTCTTAACGACAGCTAGTTTTTCTGGGAGATTTGCAAACTAGTTAAAGTACTCCCTTTATTATGTAGGATTATTTAAATAAGTAAAAAACAAAAAAATAGTCTTTAAATGGCATTCACACGATGCAAATAATATTTTCCAGAATCTATGAATTAATATCGAAGTATTGTACAATGTCGTATAATAAATAATATTTTCACACAAGTCTGTTCACAACTTTAAGCATTTCTGGTAATTAATATTAATAATGTCAAATCACGTAGTGTTCAAAACGCTAAGACTGACCCCATAATAAGTTTAATAGGAGGCAGAATACAATTGTTTTCGTAACAGAATTATTTAATATTTTTCTATAGTATAAAAGCTTTGGGATTACTGCTTTAATGTTTGGATATATTGTAAAAATATAAAGTTAATGCTTCTTATTGTAAACTTCATTGTAAGTACTATGAAAAAAAGTCAATGCTTTATGTAATTATGGCCACATAGATTAAGTCATTTTATAGGGGTAATGAAGATTTATTGAAATACTTTATAACTTATGTTCATAACAAAAAGGAATAACATATACTTTTTAATGTTATTAAACATTGCAGCTTTCAACCACTGTTCTTGGTGCACGTTTCTTTGTAGGATGGTGCGTAACATGCTTCTGTCAGAGTGAAACAATAGAAAGTTCAGGCTCAATTTTTCGTTTAATATATGCACTGACAAGTCTATATTTTAAAGTTCAGCCAAGTAACTCAGCATATCTTCTGAACTTTCTGAAAGGTGATTATTATTGAAATGTCAAACGTGGGAACAAGTAAATAGAAAAAGTGAATTTTTTTCAGAAGTTGAATTATATTCTGGGTCAGTACTCATGCTAATTAATTTAAGTAACTGTTCGAGTCACCAAATTCTAAATTCTAATTTAGACTTTGTTACATTGAATTCGTGAATCATTACGAAGTAAATAATTCTTGCTTGGAATATACAAATATTAATTCTCTAACCATCTTCACCTTCTTTCTTACGTGTTTTACGCTACACGTTTTTAATTTATATAGAAGCTTGTTTGCTTACTTGGTTATGTCAGAACATTAAGCTATCTGTTGCGTCCACGCGGGGATTCGAACCCCGGATTGTAGCGTTGTAAGTCCGTAGACTTACCGCTCTTCTATCGGAGGGCAAGCTATAGGTAAGTGTTACGTATGTTAGTAGCACACGCTTTGGAGAAACTTGTTTTTATAAAGAAATGGAAAACTCAGCTCTGTTATGGGAGCTGTATTTCGATGATTTATTTTTCAAGATTGCAAATTATCCCACATTTCTACGTTTTCGAAACCTAAAAGTTACAAGAGAATATTCATTTTAAAAACAGCTCTATAAAAAGTTCTTAAGCTTAAGATTTTTTTTTTAGAAATTTACCCATTATTTACAAAAGGAAGACAGCGTACTTAAACATAAATCCTCTTGTTTTATTACTAACGGGGGAAGAAATATAAACATTATGGCATGAAATTGACATTATAGCCTCTACATTTTTAACATGTCTCTATCAGCATACAAATAAGATACGGGATGAAAAGTTGTAATGTATTACTAAACAGAGGAGTATATTAATATACACTGCTAAATAAGTCTTTTGTCCATTATATTTAGATTTAAACGACAGTGGCGATGAATAAAAAAACACCAAAAATATCAGTGTTTTGGTAAAGTTTTTAAATACTCTATCTGTTTAAAATCTTACTTGAAGGTGTACTGTTTATAACGCCTTTACAAAAATCAGCATATAAATCTCATTTTATTCGAAAAAAAATTGTATGAGCAAAATATTTTTGATGATTAAAACTGAAAGTATTTTCAGTGTACTGATAAACTTGCTGATCAGGCTGTTAAGAAATAACAAAAAAAATTAAGAGCCTCACTTTTAAAACTCATTCATTTTTCTGAAGTATCATATTTATAAACTCCTAAGTTTCGTGGAAACTATTGTAAAATTGTAATAAAAGTGCTTAAACATATTGTTGGTGTTTTAAAGATAAAATACATTACATGATACTAGTGATTCTTATATTTTAACTTACACAAACAATTTGTTTTAAGTCATATACAATTATTTATATTATAATAGCGATGTTATTGATACTAATACTTTTTAACCTTATAATATTTTATGCTAATATTATGTCAACAAATAATTATGTTTAAAGCTGCAATTTTATCAGTTCATTCATTTATTTACACACCTATTGTTTTACGAAGATTTAAAAAGTTACAATTATAAAAGTTAACAACAGTTACGGGTTCTAAGCAGATGATAAATACATTAAAATAAAAGTAATTTTATTTAAATATATTTATTGATAATTAGAAACTCTGATGTAATACGTGAAGCGTAAGAAAGCTGAATGTTTTGAACTACCATCAAGAATAAATGAAAATAGCGCACATGTTTTTTAAACTACATATACAAAATTATTTTGTTACCAATTACAGATTTTACAGTAAGGAAGAATGTTTTTAAAAAAGTTACGACGTTTGGATCAAAGGTGCGATCATTCTCAAGTCCACAAGTTTTAATGATAAAGAAGGTTTTAGTACTTGAATCAACATATATATATAACGTGTTTAAATTCTAGAACTGATAATGGTAACTTATGCATGTGCATATCTATCCGCGTGAATTGACAGATTATTTATTTGTGGCTGATAAAAACAAACAAAAAGTGAATAAATATGAAAATGTGGAAATGTTGTGCGAAATATTTGCATAAGATTAGGAATGTCTAAGGAAATAACGTGTCTTGTCTGTGTTTTTTTAATTCCTTAATAGTTTGTTTAACTACTGTAGTAGGGAACTGGCAATTGAAGAATAAACCTGAACCTCATGTCCAACATAAAGATAAAAATTATCATATAAAAAAAAGATCAAATAAAACGTTTAAAACAAACTATAGAGGAAAACAGAGAGAACTGAAATTTCTTCGAAAAAATTAACTTAACCCCCATCGTAACGTCACACGTTTAACTACCCCTAGAGAATACAACTTACTTTCTTCATTAATACAGAATAACACCTACTTTAAAGGCTTAACTATCAAACGAAATATAGACAGAAAAACTTCGACTATCAGCACAATCCAAAAACAAAAAAAACGTGATACTGTAAAGAACAATATAAACAATTTCGCGAACTTTCAATTCATGGAATCTCAAACCATAGCCCTAAATAAAAGGCTTAACTACGCAGTAACTCCTCTCACCATACCATTGTTAGATTTAAAA